AGCCCCCTGGATGTGACCAAATCTCAGTTATGTCATTCGGTAAAGTTTGTCCTGACTGAATGTTTGCTAATTCTCAAAACCCAGCACTTTCTTCAGAGAGCAATATCCATTAGGTAGCTGGTGGGCTAAGGCTAATGCCCATTACCCCAGTTGCCCTCTGCTTCTCTGCCTCTCTGTGTGTATCTCCCCGTCATTCCTAATCTAAGTAAAAACCCTGCTAGGCAAGGGCCCTCATGGTCAGCAACACTAACTTTTTGGTAAAGATGAATAATAGTATTTTTCATTATGCCATTCTTTTTCCAATAAATTGGTAATATGTAGTATGGAATATACGCTGAAATACTTTGCCAGTTTCTGGGTCAGCTCTCTTTGATTTAGGCTTTCAGGGGAAAAAGCCATTCAAACAAAAACGCCCTTATGAAGTATGAATGCGTTTTTGTGCCCAACTGGTTAAATGGAGATTGAGTAGTGCCGTGTAAACATTGTCCTGCAAACAGCAATGCTCTAGTGTACCACTCTTTTACTTCATTTCCCTTCTGTGGTCAGGACCAGTGTTACTCTGTGAAGCGCTTTTACAGTGCTCCCAACCAACCATGGCTTTCCTGAGTCAGGAGGAGAAAGAGAAGAGAGAACGAGAGGCAGGATACCCTCTTAAGTTGGTTTGTTGAGTTCATAAAGTAGCTGGGTTGGCACTTCTACCCTACATTCTGACCTTCTGTGGCAGTCCATACTAGTATTCCAACTCTGTTAGATGTCCTTTGTATGCAAAACTCCAGAGCTCTGGGATCTTCAACTGTTTCATCTAAGCTTGGCTTCCTCTTTCATTGTTTGGATTTGTTAACTGACTGCTGTCGTCCTTCTCAAGTCCCAGTAACCATTTTTCATCCCCCTTGCTTTTTTTCCACAGGAAAGCCAGGAAGAAAGGCCTTTTCAGCAAGGCCTCCCTCCTTGCCGGGTTTCGTGCACAGACTTTAATCATTGCCTTGCCTGGAAAAGGGAAAGAGCTTTTCTTAGAACGTCCTACTGCGGCGTGCAAAGACTTCCCCCCTTCTCCCTTCCTACTCATTAAAGCACAATTGTTGACTGCTCTGGGGTCCCTGTGGGTAAAGCTTGTTTGTAATGTCAATTACCTTGAGTTTATGAGTTAAGAGCTGTTGTCGGTCCTCTGGAAAAAGGAATCCTTCATTTAGCTGTCACTGGCATACACTGCAGTTCACTCGGCCAAGAGGAAATGAGGATTAAAGGCCTGATCCTGCTCCTGCTGGAGGCAGTGGCATGGCTCTAGGTGAGAACAATGGGAGCAGACCCCTGCCTCAGAGGAGAGGGTGGTCCTAGCTAGGGTGCTCTCCTGCTCCCCCTCTCCCCAAGTGAGTGATGATAATTACTGCAGGAGTGTCTGTTTGGTGCACTTCCTCCAATTGTTCCCAAGCCCTTATTTTGCTTGGTGCTCAGAAGGGGTCATTTCTTTAGCTGGATAGTAAAGCTTGTCTAGAATGACTTATTGCGTTCCTGAAATGCTTGAAGAGATGGTGATTGCCTCGGGGAAAGGCAGAGTGTGGCTGAATGGAGGCTCTGCATGTTTTGGTCAGTCCTGGTAGAAGTGATAAGGACTGTTAACAATGTTGGTGGCACAAGGCCACATTTTTGATGAAGTATAAAGAAGCTGTGACCTTCTTGCCAGCCAGAAACCTGTACTGGGGTATCCTGAGACAGTGTTCACAAGCTCTTTTTTGAGGAATTAAGGTGGTTCACTTTGCCACTAACCAGAAGCTTTGACAAAAACAATCTTTTTTTTTTGTTTGACTCCTTGGACAACTGGATCCAGCACAGCCCTTGGCTTGGGATGCTCTGGGAGGATACCTCAGTTTCTCTGGCTGGCAAAACCTACTGACTGGGCTGGCTCCGCATTGCTCTGTTACGAGAGTGACAGAATAGTAGAACATGAAAGAGGGAGGTCCTGTCAGCAACTCAAAGCTAATGGAGGCCCAATTATGATTCTTTTCACCCCAGGTGGCTTTCTCATCATCAGAATGTGCAGGTCTAAAGAGAAGGAAAAAAAAACCAACCCCATTTGTTTCAGTTTTTGAACACTCAACTGTCTTTATCACACCATGATGTGTTGGTTTAACTGAGTACATTTTCAGCCTGTTGTTCAAAGCCTTGCTAGCAAACACCCAGTAAAGCACTGGGTATTTATGTTTGTTCTTCCACTATGGGAATGTTTTTGGTAACAGCTGAGATTTAACTGCTGAGAAAACCAGGAGCTCCGTACTATGTCATAACTTCAAGTAATAACAGAAAGTGCAGAGGTTTTTTCTGTAGCAGAAGATATTCTGCCACAGGGGGACCGTACCTGTTAATAATGGCCCTCCTTTGTGTTTCTTTTCAGTTTCCATCTGAAGGCCTACAGTTGCTGAGCAGGCATGAAAGAAACCTCCGAACAACTCCAGTGGGGAATTCTAGTCACTGCTTTTCCCTTTAGAGAAGGTATGTCAAAGTACAGAAAAAAAGGTGAGTTCTTAAATTTGTGGTGAGGAGCTGTGATTGCAGTAGTCCCTGAAAGAAAATGAAACCTAAAGAGATTTCCACATTTGAGACTCCCAGGTGTTTTGGGTGAGAAACGAATGATCTCCTTCCAGCTTAAACAGCCTCTTCAAGCTCCCTTGTCCTCAGATAACAGTACAGTATTAAACTCCTCCTGGCAGAGTGATGGTCTGTTCTTGAGCTTTGAATTGCCATGAGTACTCCTCACTTGCAGGAAGTCACTGTTGATGCATGGGCTGTATTGCAGCCTTAGTCAAAACTGAGCATTTTAGAGGAAATTCAGAAATGTCATGACATCAGCTGTTTTTTGTAATCAGTTGTGAGTGCCTCTTGAGGACTCAGTTCCTGTGGAGCCCTGGAGTTCAATGTCTTTAGGTTTATGACTTCATTGTAAAGATCACCCATTACACATTAAAGACTCTGCAGAATGCTTTACTTTAAGACAGGGAGTACCTCACTACTCACTACCAGCTCTTAAGGGTCTCTCTAGTTCCAGGCAGCAAAACTTCCAGTGGAATATTTCATGCTCAAAATGTATATGAGTAGCATCATCTTAATAACCCAACTTGAGATTTGATTCCCACTCCAAAGATCCATACTTTGTTAAAGAAACTTCCTGAGCCTTCTGAATTTCAGAAAGAAAATATCAAAGGAGTGAGGTAGTTTGCACCCACCATTCCTTGTTTTCAGCTGACTTTGTGAGTCTCCTATACATAATGCTCCTCCATACAAGCAAGTAACAGTGGCACAGCAAATCACCACGTGTCAGCTGAGCCATGGCAGCCTCAGAAGCTGTTTGCCATGTATGCTCTTGGTCTGCCCTAGATGTGGGGTAATGCCACTTAGCTGAAAACTTGATGAAAGAAGCTTAGACTGAAACAGATTAAAAGCGCAGACATGGACAGTTACAGAGGTTTGGCTGACGTATAGTAACTCCTTAAGCCCCGTACACAGACTGTGTGTCTGAACCCTTGAACTGCTTGCTCACAAAACTTGATCTGTTCACTGCACATGCACACAGCTTGTGATGCCAGTACTTTTTCAGGCACCCTAATCCCAGTGAGCCCAGTGTGCTGCCTGCCTCCTCCTGTGCTCTCAGCCAGATGATGATTTTTCTGTAAGGATTGATTGATCTGATCTTACCCAATGTTGATGACACGGTGAGGTGTGTTTATGTCAATATATGTTGATTGGGTGCATTCTTATTTCTAGTGATTCTGGCTAGCAATTTAGCTGTGTAATTTTGCCAGTAGCAGCATGCTGGAAGTAACACAGGCAGGGCAGAAAACCTGTGCTGCTCACTGAGAGCACAGCAAAACCAGGCTGTAGTCATTTTGCATACCAGTTGCTCCAGAGTGAAACAATACTGGATATTTTTATCTAAGCAGGTCATATTTTGATGAGGAGCCATGAGGTCTAGAGATCAGAGGGCAAAAGCGGGTGTCACAAAGGATCTTGCCATGCTGTAATCCCTCCTGAGCCATGGGCTTGCAGGGTGACCTAGAGTGTGACACTTGATCAGTCTGCTCAACCTTAGGCAAGAGGCAGCCAGGCTGTCCCCTGCCAGCCCAACTGTCACAGTGTCCAGCATTTTAAATGATGCTTCCCTTTCCCCAGCTGAAGTATCTGTTGATAAATTACTATGCAATGATTGATACCTGGTTGCTGGTGCATTTCTAACTAGTAATCAGCATCATTATGAGTGCTGTGTATTTTAAAAATTTGCCAGAGGAAAGCTTATTTCTAGTACAATGGGCTGGTGCATTAAATGGATGTTGCTTTGGGTGCTCCATTACCAGATTCTGCAGTTCTGTCTTGGGACTTGCTCTCTTGGTGTTTACCATTTCCCCATGGTGATACAGGGGAGAAAATGCTTAATCATGGCTTGCCAGGGTCTATCAGATAAGATTATTCTGAAGTACAACTGTTTTTAATTTAAGACAACATCAGCTTTTTTAGACTAGGAAAAGCGAGTGTGGTTACTTAGAGACTGGTACCACAGCCCAGAGGGAGGAAGCAATGTGATGCTTACACAGAGGCACTCAGGGCACTTCTCCACACCCTCCTGGCACCCAGCTCCCACTCCTAAATGGTGCAGCTCTCCCCTGCTTGGTGTTGATGACATGGTGAGGTGTGTTTATGACATCCAAAATGGCACCAGACATCTATGTGTTAGACTTAATCTAGTGGCCTGATTTTGAGAAGTGTAGCAAAATCACAGCACTGGTGAAACTGACTTAGAGGACAAATGTGTTTAAACCATTTGTTAGGCTGGTTATATGGCTTTGTTAGGCTTGTTCACTAGCTGCAGCTGAGGACAGTGGGTCAGTGGAAAACCTCTCTAATCACATGAAGTTGGGAGGATTGCTGAAACTATCAAGAATGGCTGAGCCTCCTTTGGAGGAAGAAGTAACTCTAAATGCTGTATGACACTGTGGTCAAGGGTAAATCTTGACTCCTGCATAATGAAACACATGCTTATGACAAGAGCTAGGAGGAGCTTACGGAAGTAAGTCCTGTTGCTTATCAGAGTGGGTTGGCTGGTCTCAAAGCTTGACATGAACAGATGGACAAGAGCTAAAGTGAACTGTCCATATCTATACCAACCTGTTGGTCATAACCAGTATTTGGTTGCCTAATTTAATTCCTCGTGAATGGGAAGCATGATGAGATTTCATGTCAAATGTCATCTCTTTACAGCACTTCCATATTTTATCTCCTTGCCTTTAATTGCATGACGTATAGACTGTCCTTTTTTCAGTAAAGGTTTTGGCAAAACCAGTCAACTTTTCTGTAGCTCTATTTGCCACTTTTTGGAAATCTCTGAAATATTATCATACAACCCTAGATAATGATCTTCTTTCTCTTCCTTTCCCCTTCCCCCCATGATTTTTGTATTTCTTGTAATTTCTAATCTGAAAGCTAGTAAAGATGTTCTTAGAATAAATATCAGACAAAAGTCTGTCAGGATGGACTGATCTGAATTGACTCACAAAATCTAGAAACTGGCCTGTGAATGAAAGAATGAGTCAAAGTACTCTTTTTGTACTATAAAAACCAAAGAGTGAATGCTAAGAGGCTGGAATAGCATTTTCAGGCTGGTAAGATTTTAGCTGTGAGGCTGGTGATGGAGAAGGGTGCTCCATGCAGGCTGCGTATGAAAAAGTGTAAATTATCTCTCCTGAAGCATCTGAAACATCTCCCTTCCTGCATGGAAGGGTAGCGTGCATGTTTATGTAATCTGTTGCAATGTCCTGTTGTAGTTGTGAGGTCTCAGCATCATCCACTGAGGCAGGCAGGGATCTGGGCAGCAGAAGACGTAGCACAGGGCAGTTCAGACATGTAAAGCAATAGTTTATGTGGCCTTCAGCAGTCAGAAAAGTTTGACATAATTGTTAGGTGCAGTCTGGAAAGGAGAGGGACATGGAGAGTTTGGCCACAGAAACTTTCACTGCCTCTTTGGCAGCAGAAAGCAAATTTGTCAGACACCACTGGGGCAGTGCACAGGTCCTCCAAAACTGGGGGTCAGGTCCTTTGACCAAACCGGTTCATCAGGGTGAGATGGGACTGCTGGACCAGCCTTACCCTGTAGCAGACCCTGGCTGTGATGTGCAATGGTTTGCATTGTGGCTCTGAGCTCTCACCTCTTCTCCACTCTACACTTCTGTTGTACTTGCTCACATTTATCTCATGGGGATTAAGATGTACTTGAACCTTAGAAATGAAAACGGAAATTTGAACAGGAAGCATGGCAGATTGACATGTTCCTCATTATCACTGCTACATTTGTTAGACATATGTTTTAAAAATCAAAACACTGCAGTATTCAAAGAACCGGGGGTGGGGGCAAGGAGGGAGACCCATCCATGCCCCACCCAGGGTGTTTAACCTTGAGGATGATTCATCTGTAGATGAAACTACAGAGCCAACCATAGCCAATGTTGGAAGTACTTAGTTACTGTTCAGAGATTTCCTGATTGAAATCCCAGCTCCTCCTCAAACACGGTGTGAGCTTACTGTACAGGGAAAACACCACAGACCAGGTTATGTCCTCTAGGAAAAAACAAAACACACAAAATGAAGGCTGGTGACGCCTATCAGTTTTGAAGGTGGAGCACCGTATGTTGGTGGCAATCTGACAGCCTTCAGTTTAAGGTGGTCCCCTGCTGGGCTTCCAGGTATCAGGAAATCAAAGCTGAACTTCCTTTGCCCATTAACATGGCAAGTTCTAAAGAAAGAGTGAAAATGCAGGCATTTCTCATGCAGAAAAGAAACTGCAGGCATTTCTCATGCTTCCCTGTAAAAAAAAAAAAGCAAGCAAGGTATATGGCTTTCTCCTCAGAGATTCTTTGGGCTCTCTCTTCAGTAGCAATTCTGACAGATGTGATTTTGTCCTACTATTGGAGTGCCTTCAGAAAGAGCAGTGTGGGGTGATGTCACCTTGACATCTTGGCCCCTGTGGACTCTTTGGTCAACTTTAACAGAAGTCAGAGGAAGGAAGTATCTCAAAGTTGTGCTGCTAACATATCCTTCCCCAAACCTGAAGGATGCAACTTTAACATTAAGAGAACGTCTGAAAGGGGTCCTTGGAGAACAATGGCAATGTCATGGATATGGGTCTTTCCACAACATTTTATTCATCCTATACAAATCTGCCCATCAGCATGGCTTCTGCCTGCAATGAATGGGAAAAGAAGCTGCAAGGGCATAATGGGAAAAGAAACTGGGCATAATAGGAAAGAAACTGCAAGAAAGATACATTTATTACCAGTCAATTAATTGACTTGGATTAATTTTTGTTTAATCTTCGAGGAAAAAAACCTTCACACAGATGAAATTACCTGAGTGCTTGCTAAAGAGACATGGACTTTTCCAGTATTCAGTGAATGAAAGGAGAGATTCTGTCATCAGCTTGTAGCTCTGTCCTTGTCCACCTAACTCTGCTCTTGTAACTGCAGTAGCAGTGTACTGCATTGCCTGCAGAAGCTTGGAATGAGGTTTTAAAGTGCTTTTGTCTGACACAAGTCAGGCCCTCAGCCGGCCAGGACTGCAGCAAAAACATGTCAAGACCAGTGTGGACAAAGCCACTGAGGCAGGCGGATTTAAAACTGCAGGACTAAAAACCCCTTGATGGTCCCAGGCTTGGAAGATTATGTCTGTACTTAAAGCTGCTTTAAGGAGGCACAGCCTGCTTACTTTCTGCTTTATGGATAGAAGGATACACAGGAAAGGGTTTAACATTGAGCACATCGTGTTTTTGAAGACTGACCTTCCTTTTAAGAAGCAAACCATAAGAAACTATTCTTGGACACACAGCAGTCTCTTCTTGATGTAAGTCATACTGGTCTTTTAAGCAGACTGGGACTCCTGTGACCATGTGGGCATTCCTCTCCAGTAGCAAGGTCTCTGCAAACAGTTACCTAGAACCACTTCTGCAAGTAACAATAGGAGAAATTAATTTGCTCAACAAAAGCTGGGGGCAAAGAGTTCATACATTTCTGATCCTTCATCTGTGCTGCTGACACAAGTTTGAGCTAAGCTTGAAGAGCTTGCTGTTCTGGTGGCAAGTCTCTGGGTTTCCACTGAAAGGAGCTCCAAAACATGTACAAGCAGATCACAGAATAAGCACAGGATGTAGGTAGCTTCCCAAATTCTTCACTTTTTAATACTTCTGTATCCTGCCCCTTGTAAATTAGGTCACTGAGGGCTGTATTGTGACAGGTTTTATGGGTGTCTGAGAAGGTGCAAATAATCCCTGTTTTCACATCTATTCTTCAGCAGGAGAGAGCAGTTTGTCTTTCCAGTGTGGTACAAAGTAGGGGATTGTGGAAGATGACAAATCATAACCTTGTTCTTTTTTGGCATCAGCTGCAGTGGACACTACTCAAAAAGAGGTATCAAGGTTTCTGCACTTGAGCATGTTCCTTCCATGGCTGCTGGTGGTGCTTTCCCATCTCCATATATTACTGGGCTACCTGCTAGGCCTGCTGGGGTCTCAGGACTAATTCTGTCAGTTGAGGCAGGACAGCACTGGAATAGAAGATTTTTACTCATCCTCATCTTGACCATGATATCATCCAAAGGCTTATTTCTAAATTAGGCACTACTAGTAGCTGGCCTGTATAGGGACTTGAGTCTCATTGCAAAGTTAGGGAACCCAGCTGTGGAGAAGAGAGGCATATGTTTTCCAAACAGCAGTCAATCTGGGTTCCAACAAGAGGGCTGTCTTGAGAAGTTCACTAGTATGATTATATGGTTTCTGGTGTCCAGGTGCAGCTCTTCCTCTAGATGTATTATCCATGCAGTGTATAATTACAACACGATTTGGGAAATGAAACCCCTGTTGCATAGTAAAAACACTCATGAGATGATCATTCCTGTATAACTACGAGGTAATATATCGCCATAATTATGTAATCATCTGCTCTACATAAAAAAAACTTAACATTTTCAGTAATGGGGCCACCCAATACTGAATTCAGGTGTGGTTTTCCTACTATCACAGTCTATCTATGGGGAAGATGATGGAAGAAACTAATCTGTTTCTCAGGCTTTTTGTTTCCTATGCCATCTTTCTAGACTGCTTTTTATACTGAGCTCTTTTATGAAGGCAGCCTTCCAGGAAGGTTTCCAAAGGTAACAACTGGAGTCACCTAAAATAAGGACTATACTGCAATTTCCAAATATTTCCATAAATAGCTGTAGGAAGAAGGGACGAGCAAGATGCCCAGAGCGGCTGTCTCTGCACCGGCTTTTCCTCAGCTCAGCATTATTGAGAACACTGTCACCCAGTGAAACTCAGTGCACACGCTCTTTTTGTTTCAAGTGTGACATGCTGGCTAAAAGCTGAAGGTATTGCCCTGAAAGAGAGAAGTATTTATTTCTTTTTACGATGCCTTCCAGTAAAGTGATGATATGCAAATTATACATTGGAATTTTCTATGTATCCTCCAAAGACTGACATCCAAGCCAGCTCTTCCTGGATGAGTTGTCAGCTCAGAAAGAAAACTGAGCCTATAATGTGTCAGCCTGATCCCCACTGAGAGGGCAGGCTCCAAAGGGAGAGCAAAGATTTAAAAAGGAAAGGGTATTAATATGCCAGTAGGTCATATGATACACAGCATAATTTCTGGGGTCTAGGGTTGATTTCCTTGGCTATGCACGTGAGACTGACAAGTCCACTTGGTGACACAAAGTGCAAAGTTTTGGTTATAATAAGTGATCTTGCCTTTCTTTCTTGTGTCTGTGTGTGACTTTTGTACTTGCTTTTCTGCACTTTATTTTACAGCACTGAAAGCAGCAAATCCCATGTGTGGACTCTGATCACAACTAGCAGGCTGCTGAGAAAGAAACAGGTTCAGATGCTGATCTTGCATGTGCCAGGGTAAATAGAATGTCTCCTTGCCAGCTCCAAGGTTTAAACTGGTAGCCTGCTTGAATTTTGTTATGCTCTGTGTGGTTTGTGGTTTATTGCTTCCCGTGGTTTGTGAAAAAAGACACCGGGACTAAGGAGTGAGATTTGATCTTTCTTCCATTAGATCGCTGTGTGTCATGAGATGACAGAGGTGATTCTGGTTAGCACCCTGGGACTTCTAGCTGTGCTGGCTTAGTAGACTAACAGTAGACTGCTGCTGTAACAGACTTCATGTACCTTCATGAGCCTTACCTGTTTGCCCATCATGGTTTGTGGAGGATCAGCACACAGGAGTACACTGTCACAAGCAGCAGCAAGAAAAGTGCAGCAATATGCAGTATTAAAAGGAATGGGGAGCATTTTCATGTGTTTCAACCAATGTGTGTACAAAGCAGAACACCCTCCTTCACTTAGACAGGTCCCTAGGCCCAGGAGAATAAATGGCATAGCCACACTAGTTCACGTCCATGTCCTGGGATATGCACCTGTGGACCTACACTCTACAGAGCTAACCCAAACCCCAACTTTTCTACTGAAACCTCTTTTCTATTGTGGTCATTGCTTTTCTTGACTCAGGGTAAGACTCAGATTGTAGGTCACAAAACTGACTCTTCAGCCAGCCTACAGTAGACTCAAAACGGTGGAATGTTGTTGTAAAAATGCAAACATGTAAAATGAGAAGACATCTAATGCCAGCATTTTGGTGGAGACTAGATTTAGGCTTAAGACAGCTGGTGCCAGAGCATTTGCTTGTTAATGTTCCTAGGCTCTGGAATGCCTTGCAAGAGGATATCAGAGCAGCAGAATCAATTAGTGGTCTTAGAAGTAACATTAAGACTGCTGGGTGACATGATCATTTTTTATTCTGAAGAGCCTATTTTATGGGCTGAAATGCAAGCTGGAGAGGGCCAGTGTCATTGTTGCAGGGAAGAGGATAAACTGTAGTAAAAAAGTCCTCACAAACCCAACAAAATTCTTGAGATGATGATTTGCTTTCATGCTGTGTTTTACCATCTGGGAACAGGGATGAAGAAAGCAGGCTGTTCTGTGTGACATGAACAGATTCATACCTGCCTGACCATGTTCAGATGAGTTACGACAGCGAGTTTACTCTCAGCTGGTCTTTAACCCAGACTACATGCCAATGCAAGGGAGTCAGGGAGCATAAGAATTCCCCTCAGACATCTAATAGGATGACACCACCTTTTTCCAAACATAAAATATACAGGACTACTTGCATGATCAGCTTTTTGCTGGAGCAAATGATGGGCAGCGATGAGCAGAGCACATCTCCTTCCCTCGTGAGCTGTGTCAGTGTTCATGACAGAGCAGCAGTAAGTGCCTGCTCCACTGCAAGCAGAGCAATTTAACAGGAAGAGGGACATAGAGGGATTTCTGCTCAAAGCCATGGTGCTGCCTTATAAGACTTAAGGGACTGTATTGCCATAGAATCACAGAATCACAGAGTAGTTAGGTTTAGAAAGGACCTTAAGATCATCAAGTTCCAACCCACCTGCCATGGGCAGGGACACCTCACACTAAACCATATCACCCAAGGCTCTCTCCAACCTGGCCTTGAACCCTGCCAGGAATGGAGCATTCACAGCTTCCTTGGGCAGCCCATTCCAGTGCCTCACCACCCTAACAGGAAAGAACTTCACCCTTATATCCAGCCTAAACTTCCCCTGTTTAAGCTTGAACCCGTTACCCCTTGTCCTATCACTATCCTGTCCCTAATGAAGAGTCCCTTCCCAGCATCCTTATAGGCCCCCTTCAGATACTAGGAGGCTGCTATGAATGCCCTCCTTCAACAAGCATTGCCTCAGCTCAGAGGGAGAAGACCTGGTTTCTCCCTCGTGCTGTCATTCCTGACCTCAGGGAAGAAGATGGGAGTGGATGAGAGCCACCATCTCTCCTTGCTCTCAGCTCACAGGGTGATGAATGGTACAGGGATCTCCCTCACAGAACCACAGTACAGCCATGGAATAACCTCTGTCCACCAGGGTTGCATACCAGGGTGATCTGAACATTTTGTATCCTGTCTACAGCATTAGCACCCCATGCCTCATCCCGTACCTTTTTCCTTGTGAAGCAGGCTGTGCAGAACTGAGCCCTGCAGAAATACAACATTGATTCAAGCAAATGCGGACTGGGGGTATTGTTTTGCAGGAAGAGTAAAACCTCAGTTCTCTGCTTGTCAGTGACTTCCTGAACGATAGGGTGGCACTGACTGTATATCTGTTAAGGGGCAACCCTGCAGTGGAGCCTATTGAAGTCGTAACTCCTTGGGAGGATGCTCTGATGAGCAATAATAACAATGAGGACAACAAATGTAGGCCAGGTTCTCATATTTGCTGACCCTTGACCATAGCGATAATAGAAACAACTCAGGCAAGCAATGAAATTGTTCCAGATGGCAGCCACTGAACCCGGTTTATGGAGTAATAATTTACTCCACGAGCAGTTGTATGTACTTCATCAGGACTGCAAAGTGCTATGTGCAGGGAGAATTAAATGAGAGTTTCTGGTCTTAGTCTGCTCTTTAGTGTTTGCAATGAACTCCAGTTTTTGTTAGTGTAGTTAAATTCTACACCAGGTGCCACACCTGGACTTGGACACGGGTTGTGCCAAATGTTGCTACTTTCACACTGTACAAACAGAAGGGCCACAAAAAGAAGAGCAGAGGAAGGATCACTGCAATAGTGATGCTTGCTTTCTGGTGCCCTCCTAGGTGAAAGCACCACTAAGGGGACAACGCTCACTGCTGTTGTCTGCACAGTCAGTGCATTTTCAGCAGCACTCTGTTCAAGGCAAACATCTTTGGGGTCTTTACAGGAAAGAATAAAGGACACAATTAGAAAGCGAGGTTGTATGCTGCCTGGTTTTATCAAAGGTGAATTGTGTCACAAGAACCTGATATCTTATCTAAGAAAGCTAATTGGTTTTCCTGGTAAAGGAAACACAGCTGGTATATCTGGCTATCAGCAAAGCATTTGATATGATGCCACACGGGAAATCATTTGTTCAGTGGGGGATGATGGGGTTAGGCAGAAGAAAAGTGTGCGAGGTTTGGCTAAGGAAGGGATCAAACTGGATGGGGACTACTTGTGCAGTTGCTCAAGGAGTAGTCTTGGGACTGATTCTGTTTAATATTTTCAGTAATGGCCTTGCCATGAAAGTCAGGAGTGCATGGATGAAATCTGCAGATAACCTTAAGTTTGTGAGCATGACTATTATGCAAGAAGATCAGGGTATGGTACAGGAAGCACTGACTGACCTTGAGGACCAGACTAATAGAAATGGGATGAAATTCAATATTACAGAGTGCGAGGTCGTGCACTTAGGGACTAATAACATGAATTTCCACTATAAGCTGGATGCTTATCGGCTCAGAACAAATGCAGAAGAGAAAGACCCAGGTGTATTAGTTGATGGGGGTAACTAAGAGGCAAAGATATCATGCCATCAGGGAAAAGACAGGGTATTTAAGTCAAAGCCTTCCCAAGAGGCGGGGGAGTATCAATGCCACCGGAGAGGAGCAAGATCTCCCCTGCAGCACTGCTGGCTGCTGTGGTCGAGAAAGATGAAGCTTTGTGGGCACAGGTGTGGATCTGGGCTGTTAGGAGCACCAGGGGAGGGGGGACCCCATTGTACCAGCTCTGGCCTCTGTCACCCAGCGAGTGGTAGCTGAGAGAGGACATACTGGCTTTCCTTAAATACAGCAGTGGGTAAATACAACTGAGAGGAAAGTATGAATTCAGATCAAGGCAATGCTGGCACATGAACAAACACAAATTGACCATGGCTGCACTGAGGCTTGGAGTATTTCTAGTCGCTTTTGGGCATGGGGTATGGCAGACCTGTATTCACTTGGTCTGTGGGAAGGATTGCCCAACACTGCAGTGGTGGCAGCAGGGGCCTGGCATTGATGGCACCTGGAACTCAAAGGGGCCTGGTGCAATCCTAAATGCTCTTCACTTCCCAGTTCTAGCCCACCCTCCTGCCCTCTCCCTGGGTACCTGTGTGCACTGGCTCATTCAATGTCCCGTGTTCAGCCCCTGGCTGGGATTCCCATTCAATTGATGGGAATCAGGGAAAACCTAATTGCAACGTGTGAGTGTGGTGGCACAAGTGAGATGGGACCCAGCCTGGGCTTAATGGAAGTACCACTTTTCTGGGTCAGCCAAGGCCATTTAGATAATCCACAGTGGCCTTCTGCTGGGGCACATGGCTCTGGCCAGTTGTGTTTCCTGCTTTCTTGTGTGCCAAGGGAGCTGTCAGCTCCATTTTAATTGCTCTCACACAGCATCATCTTCTGCAGTTCAGAAACTACAGTTCAGAGGGTTTTGTCCATTTCTTTCAGACAAATATGTTTCCTTATTTCTTTTTTCTCTTTTTATCTTCTATCCCTTCCCTCCCCCTATTTTTCCTCTTTCTCTCCACCCAACCCTGGTTGACATTTACCAGAACCCAGTGTGATTTAGTGACCTTGGGCATACTGTGCACTTTAATTTGTCAATTTGGGAAATTAATTTGTGGAAGAATGAGTGGAAGTCAGAGGTCAGGCAGTTGGAGCGCAGACCTGCTGACAGGTTGACTGTTGGTGGGGGGCTAATGAGAGCACACCACCAAGCGAACGGAACAAAAGCAGACAGATTACACTGCCCGCTTGCTGGCTGGAGTCAATAGCATCGGGCCGTTGCACCTCCATCTCTGCCTCATGCTGCTCAAGCAGCCGTTCAGAAACAGCCACAGTGGCATTATGGGAGGAAGGTGTTGGTCACTGGGGGCAAGGCTGCTTCACGGTGAGGATGGAGAGCTTGGCATGGCAGCTCTTCCAAGCTGCCCCATGAGGAGGGAGCCATCAGCAGGGTTGCATGAGGGTGTTCGGAGGCGTGCTGTCTGCAGCCACCTGGAGTCCAGCTGAATTTCAGCATCTCTTCTGGGTGCCGACAGCCGCGATCGGACAAGTGGGATTTGTTTTCTGTAGGCAGCATCTGCCTGACTCTTCCCGCAGCCTCTGAGGGTGGCTGCAGAGCCAGAGGGCTTGCTGGGCAGCAAGTAGGAGATGTGACTCTCAGCGCCTTTCCGCTCCAAAATCC